TTTTAACGGTAAAGCTTTTAAACCTTTCCCGTTTCTTCTTTGTCTTCCAGCAACTGCCCTTCTCTCCTGGCAGCAGCGTTAGCCCGGGCAACAGCGGATGAAGTCCTGCAGAGCGACCTGTCCAATCATTACCTGCCCAAACACGAGGACAGTCCAGATGGGATCATACGTGAGTGAGAAAATACACCGCAAAGAACAGCGCGGTCCTCAAGCTTAGCCACTAGTTAAGATCTGTGGACTTCAACTCCCAGAATTCCCCAGCTAGCCAACTCTGGGAGCTGGAAGTCCACAGATCTTAACGTGGTCAAGATTGAGAAACACTGCATTTGTCTGGGGAATTCTGGGAATTGAAGTCCACATGGCTGAGGCTGGGAAACAGTTTTGGCTGAGGAACAGGGGTGGGATTCTACCTGGTTAGACCGGTTCTATAGAACCGATTGTTACAATTTCTGTGCAGTTCAGAGAACTGGCAAATCGTGCCACTGGCTGGCCCCACCCCTCCCCTCCCTGCCCACCCACTCCTTATCTGGCATGTGCACCATCCAGCTTGCCTGTGTTGTGCCTTCACCTAATTTTTGGTGTTGCCATTTTTCCTCCCCCCCCCATCAGCTGTTCTGACTATCAGCTGTGCTGGGAGATTTAAATTAGCTAGAAAGCAGGAAATCACTAATCTAAAAGCAGAGCTGAACCTTCCTTAGGACTGAAGCTTCTATTTTTCAGTGCAGACTCAGGTAGCAGATTGCAGAAAGCTAGATCTCTGAGTGAATCTGTGATTCTGTGAGCAACTCAATCTGCCTGCCTGCTTTGCCTAATTTTGGGTAAATGTTGCTCTTTTTTTATAAAAAAAATCAATATTTACATAAATATTTACAATATTTACATATAAGCCATGCCCACCCAGTCACATGACCACCAAGCCACACCCACAAATTAGGCCATGCCCACAAACCGGTTGTTAAGAAATTTGAATCCTACCCCTGCTGGGGAATTCTGGGAGTTGAAGTCCACAGATCTTAACGTGGCCAAGGCTGGGAAATTTTGGGAGTTGAACTGTTGTATGTCAAGGGCTATCTGTATATGACTAGCTATCATAATACAAAATCGATCCTAATACAAAACCCGACAAATATATCAACTGTGGGTCATAAAATGTGGGAAAACCCACCTAACAAATGTCTCACTTAAAAACTGTGGCTCGAATATTCATAAAATGGCAGGGAAAACTCACTTAACAAATGTCTCACTTAACATCAATTTTGGGCTCAATTGTGGTCATAAGTTGAGGACTACCTACATAGCTTGTTTTGTGGACATTGGATAAAATCAACTTTCCTTTTGGATGCAGCCAATCGGGAAGTTTTATGAAGATCTTAACCATTTTTATTTTTGGGGTGGCTATGGTGTCAGGATACAAGAGGTTCTATAAAATGCCAGTGTGCAGTGGCAGCCAAAAAACCCAACACAATCCTAAATTGCATTAACAGAGGGATACAATCAAGGTCAAAAGAGATACTAATATCACTCTATAAAGCCTTAAGAAGACCACACCTAGTCCTGCTCCCAGTTTTGGTCACCACACTATAAAAAAGATGTGGAGACTCTAGAAAAAGTGCAGAGAAGAGCAACCAGGATGATAAGGGGACTGGAGACTAAAACATATGAAGAAGGACGGTTGCAGGAACTGGGCCTGGCTAGTCTAGGGAAGAGAAGGACCAGGGGAGACATGATAGCGGTCTTCCAATATTTGAGGGGCTGCCCCAGAGAGGAGGAAGGGGGTCAAGCTATTCTCCAAGGCACCCGAAGGCCAGAGAAGGAAGAATGGATGGAAACGGAACAAAGAGAAGATTCAACCTAGGAGGAATTTTCTGACAGGGAGAACAATCAACCGATGGAACAGAAATTGCCCTCGGAAGTTGTGGGAGCGCCATCACTTGAGACTTTCAAGAAGAGATTGGACTCCCATTGTGTCAGAAAGTAGGGTCTCCCACTTGGGTGGGGGGTTGGAATGGATGACCTACCAGGTCCCTTCCAACTCTGCTAATCTGTTAAAAGTTTTCCTGTTTTTTACACTCCTGTGATGCAGGAAAAGTTCACCACCGCCAGTTTCCAAGGCCAGGTATGTTTTTCACTCCCAGAGTATCTGCTGAGTTAGATCCCCAAACGCTAGTTAGGAAGAGAGGCCATTGTTTCTAGGACATTGCTGACGGGCCTGTTTATTGTTCAGCCTGCAAAACAAGATTGTCATCTTTCCTTTCCTCTGCTTTTGTTCCAGAGATTCAAAAATAAAAAAAAATAAAAAATGAGATAAATGAAGTGCAAAGGAGCAGAGGAAGACCATGGCTTATTTTTTTTGGCTGCGTTGGTTGAAGTGGTTCTGCCTCAGTGAAGGACACGGGCCCATTTCCCATTTGGCTGTGCAAACCCCTCATTAATTTCAAATTGAAACTGGCCTAAATGTTTGGGAGTCACCGAGAATGGCTGACATTTCTCAGACTCTCATCCTCGACTTCGAAAGGCTTGAGGATGCGGTAAGTTGTTAGCAGCTGCTCAATTCCAAGGGTCTTCTTGCAGTTTCAAAACCCAATGAAGGTAGTCCTTGAGTTACGGCCATCTCCCTCCCATCCTCTTTCCCTCCCTCCATCTATCTACCAAGTACATCCATCCATCCATCCATCCATGTCTGTCTGTCTACCATCCATCCATCTCTGTAAAGAGCAGCCTAATCAAGTAACCACCAAGATCATTCCCACCAACACTGACGGGGCAAGCCACTAGTATAAAACAGAGGGGAAACCCTATGCCTCTGTAGCACTGATGATGTAAACTAGTTGGGTCATGAAACGTCTGCAAGAAAACAACCAAGCTCAGAGGAGCACCAAGGACACCATCTCCACAGACTATATCATCCATCTCTCTCTCTCTCTTAGATAGATAGATAGATAGATGATATATAGATAGATAGATAGATAGATAGATAGATA